GAATATGGGGGCTGTATGAATGTGGAATAAACTTAATCTATAATACAACCACTGATATAACTGAGTTTTAGCTCAAGCAGCTTCAGCAAAAGTAAAATAATCAAAGCAAGAAAGTCAGTAAAAGTCATTCAAAGTTTTCTTTTTTTTTTATCTTGCTGATGTAATCTATAGGGTCTGGCTTTCCTTGAAGTGTATTCCGGGTCTTTTTATTTCTTTAATTTTGGATCATGTCAGTTCTTTTTCTCTTAAATTTCTGAGGAGTAGCAACTGCTATCAGGTCTCTGATTATTTGCTGGCCTCTCATAAAAGTTTATTGCCTTTCATAGCATTTGTGTCTCATTCTCTTTTCTCTTTCTGAAGCTATTTTAAAAAAGCAAGACTCCTTGGTGTGAGGGTTAACCTTTGTTCCTTGATACTCACTAACTGCCTGGTTGCAGAGAATTCTGGAAGTGTAGACTTTCATTCCACTGAAATGTATTTTCTGGGATTGTGACATTTTGTCCTTGCAGGGAAGTGCTGTGTAGTCAAGTTTATTTTTATTTATGCAATCTAGCAATTTGAAATGTTAGAATAGCCTAACACTTACTTTAGCTGACACACTTTAAAAGTATGGTTCAATTGAGATAACTTAATGGGAAGTCATATATGAGATTTCTGAGTCTTGTTTCCTTTGAAGTGAATTAGTGTCTTTGATTCCTATCTTTTCTTTATTATAGCTGTAAGGTTCCTAATGTAATTTATCGTGGGACTCAATTTAACAATTTCCATTGTTAGAGGAGGCAGTGCTTGCAGACAAAATAGCGAGTACAGCAGCTATGATATATGGCTAAAATAAAAGCAGTATAGCCTATTTTTTTTCCTTAAGCTGTTCTTTTCTAGGAGGTATATTGCAGGACATGTAATTTGGTTTATCTCTCATGCAACATGGTAAAGTAAATGGTTGTTTTTCAGGGTTATGTCTGATCTGATTATTCTGTGAGTTTCACAGGACTTGGATTTCTGCTCCTGGGCTTTGCACACCTGGGGTTTCTGTAGGTGCTCTGTGCTAAATTATAAGCCAGCTGTCTATGCCAGCCCATCAAATGTTTGAAATTGTTTTTTATTCAGATGTGGTCACTGTAGGGATATCTGTTAGAAATCATTCATCATGTTGTTGTCTTTGAGAACTGTTAATGTGCTGTATAGGAACCTCATTAGTTGTGAGTAGCCCTTGGCAGTCTGTCAGGTGCTTTGAAACAAATTTTCTTTTGCTGATGCTTTTCTGAGTGTTTTCCTAGTTCAAAATATGTTTAATACTTGGATCTTGCTATATAGTCTTTCATCAACATTCCACACAAGAAGTTTAAAGGAATTCCTTCAGCATTGTCTGGTCTTTCCGTAGCTTTAATTGCTTTATTTGAGGTCCTAGGGCTTGTGCGGATGCCTTTGAGGTATTCTTCTGCATATTTTCTTTGGCTTCAGAAGACCGAAAATCAAGGGTTTTTAAAATTAATTAAATTACTTAAATAAATTAAGCTCTTGTTCTGACCTCCCAATTTCCCATTGTAGGTGTCCTTACTATTTTTGATACAGTATTTTGTCTGTTTTCCAATTCTTTGATATTTCTCCAGGAAGTTGTAGATGGTGAGATAATTGCATCCAGTGCTGCATTTGTGACATCTCCAGCATTTGGTATGCTGTCATAACGGTCCCTTTAGATTTGAATTTCATATGGTACTACATTACAGGCCCTGTCTCCTTTGCTGTTTCCTCCTGAGTGGGTGGCTGCAGATTTCTGCATATTATTGCCACAGATTCATTCTTTGATCAGTGCCTTTGCAGCTTCTGCCTTTGAGATCCTGAAAGGGATGTTGCTACATTTTTATACAGACTATGGATTTATTCTGTCTGACAGTGCTGACTAATCCTCCTAAAAGTCTGCTTTCTAATCCATGTATGTTATCAGCTAAAATGAATGGAGGATTTTCTGTTTACATAATATCAAAATTAGTCAAAACTTTCAGTCACTTATATTTGCCTTGCAAAAGCTTCCTGTAAGCTTCTAATAAAAACAGTGTTACACATGGCTGTTTATTTGTTTTTTTGCCTGTGTGTAATCATTTACCATGCAAAGCATTGTGTATGAATTTGTCTTCATTAAAAAATAAAATTTGCAATATCTTTGCATTACAAATATGAGACCAAATGCTTTTTGTTTCTTGTGCAAGAAATCCTATCTACTCAGAATTTAAAATGTTTTAAAATTTGAACAAATATATCATTAGTATTGTAAAGTAGTACAAAAATGTATAAAAATTGTTCTTTTATTGGGTTTGTATGGCAAGGTTTTGGTAGTGGGAGGGCTACAGGGGTGGCTTCTGTGAGAGGCTGCCAGAAGCTTCACCTCTGCCTGAGAGAGGCCATGTCAGCTGCCTCCAAGAGGAGGCTGGCCAAGGATGACACCATCAGTGGTATCTTTGGGATAGCAGATTTAAGAAGAGGGAGACAAAAAGATATGTGCAACACCAGCAGCAGTCAGAAGAGAGTAGAATGAGACTATGTGGTAGAAACAGCTCTGCAGACTCCAATGTCATTGAAGAAGGAGGAGGAGGTGGAGATGCTCCTTGTGCCAGAGCAGAGATTCCCCTGCAGCTAATGGGAGCTTTTCATTACATTTCTCTTCCCTGTCCTGCTGAGGGTGGGAAGTGATGAGAATGGCTTTGGTGGGCACCTGGCATCCGGCCAGGTCAACTCGCCGTGATTCTAGAAATTTGATTTGAGATGAAAAAGCTGTCATTGTGGTTGGCTGTTATAGTAACATGATTGACTTCACTGAAACTTCCAAATACCAGCGTAGATTTGTGTGGTGGGTTGGCTTTGGCTGGCTGCCAGGTGCCCACCAAACTGTCTCACTCCTCTTCCTCAGCAGAACAGGGAAAAAATACGATGGAAAGCTCATAGATCGAGATAAGGACAGGGAAAACCCTCACTAGTTACTATCATGGGCCAAGTAGACTTGATGCAGGGAAATCAATTTATCACCAATTAATAACAGAGTGGGATAGAAAGAATGAAAAAGAAACCTACAAGCACTTCCAACCCACTCCTTCCTTCTCCCAAAGCTCAGCTTCGCTCCTGACTCTTCTACATCCTCTGCTGGAGTGATGCAGTGGGCTGTGGAAGGGGGGTTGTGGTCAGTTTGTAACACCTTGTCTCTGTTGCCCCTTCTCTGCTTCAGACAGTCTTTTATTAACTGGTCCAGCACAGGTCCTTTCTGTGGGGTGCAGTCCTCCAGGAACAGAATATTCCAGCCTGAAACATCCCCCCTGGGTGACATGTCCTGCCTGAAAACCAGCTCGAGTCAGGGCTCTTCTCCACAGGCCACAATTCCTGCTTGAGCCTGCTCCAGTGTGGATTCCCCACAGTCTGGAGGTGAATACCATGTTGTCCTACAGGTGAATCTCTACACTTGGAGCTCCTTCTCCCCTTCTTCTCTCACCTTGGGTCTGCAGGGCTGTTTCACTTACACAGTTGCTGTGTGGTTTTTTCACTTTCTTAAGTAAGTGAACACCAAGGTGCCACAATCATTCTGATAGGCTCAGCACTGGGTAGTGTGGATCTATTTTAAAATTGTCTGGAGCTGTCTCTGTCAAACATGGGACAGTTCATGGCATCTTCTCAGAGAAGCACCCCTGCAGTCCCCACCGTGCTACCAAAACCTTGCCATATAAACCTGGTACAACGAGATGAGTCTGTAGTGAAAACTGCACTTCCAGTATGTAAGAAGTTTGTGGATGGATTCTGAGGTTGTCCTTCTTTATAGAACCAGCTATGTGAGGTTATGTTTCCCTTAGTCTTTCACTATTAGACGAGAAATGATGTTATCTGACACTCTGCTATCAGTGTTCTGGCTGCTGACTCGAGTTAACTCTACAGAACCTTTTAGTGCAGCCCTTTTGCCCATCTGTGGTGCTGAGGTGAAGCCCATGAAGCTTTTTTGGCTGCAGGGAGGACAACTGTATGCAGCTGGAGAGCTCTGCTCTGTATCCCACACATTGTCCCTTCTGTGGGTATGTCCCAGGTCATCCGTGAGAGACAAGGGATCATTTCAGGGTTGTTTTTATATCCCATATTTAAAAGACAGAGGGAGAGAAGAAGAAATTCTTTGTGAAGACTATTTCAGGTTGCAGTCACAGAACAGAGTTTTGAGCATAAACCTTGGCATGAATTGTAGCCCATCAGTTGTTTACATTTAAGCTTTGGGAACTCTTCAGTTGTGAGAGGAGAGGATTGGACAGTCAGGGCAGTGAGAGGTAGGCAGTGGAAAGCAGAACAGATTTAGCCCTGATGTATCTATCAGGATATTTTATCTTCTCATGACATGGATAGCTTTTTCTATGTTCTCCATAGAAATACTATATTGCTTTACTGGGAATTATCTGTGAAAGGCTAAGTCAAAGTGAAATCTAATTCTCATCACTCAGTATTGAAAAATTACCAAAACTGAAAATTTTTGGTAACTTAAAGCTGACACTAATAAAATTTGGTGGGTTCTGGATAAATATTCAAATATATTTGAATAGAAATAACAGAACTAAGTTTAGAAGAAGTGACAGTAGATGTGAGAGGAGAATCTCTTTTATTTCTCTGTGTTATAGTAGTAGAAATAGCATTTGAGCTTTTTGTTAAAGTTTGTAGTTTATTTTCATCAAAATAAGGTAACAAGTATTGATTATTAAAATTAGGAAGACATAGTTTTAAAGCAATTGTAGACGAAGGTATATGTCTTGCTTTTTAAAAGTTACTTTCTTTCAGTAAATAAGCCAACAGAAACATCTTCTGATTAAGGTATTTAGTGCAGTGAAGGTTGTCCCCCACTCCAATTCTGTACTCTCAGTGCCAGTTTTTCATATTTTGCAAATGTGTCTTTCCAGCCAGTGCACCCTCTAACAGTAACTTTGGTTTTTTTGTTACATGTAATGTGTTTACTTTTGTTTCCATTCCTGTTTTCCTGGCATTAGGTGGAGTGGATTTCTCCTTTGTGCTATTGCTATGCTCCTTGTGATATTTCCCATGTTTACCTTTCCGAAAAAGCTCCCTCCTCGACATAAAAAAAAGAAAAAGAAGATTAATTCTGATGACGTTTCAAGTGATGATGATGTGATGAAAGAGAAAACAAGTAGCAAAACAGAAACAGACAGTTCAGTTTCTGCCTCTATGGGATTTGGAGAGAATGTTAAAGGTAAAGTTTGTTTTTAATTTGTAAATGCTTTAGATTTTGTGTGCAGGGTCATCCAGGATTGTATGGGTGTAATTGAAGGCAGTTTTGACACCATATATTTGCTACTATTTTTTGCTATTGAGATTTTAATAGATGCTTATCCTCTAAAATGACAGGGTGCAGCAATGATTGTAAGACATTCTTTTTCTTGAATTGTCAGTGTTTGTGCACCTGTAACAAACAGGTAGGCTATTTCCTATAGTTACAGGACACTTCCCACATGTATTTATGCATCTTAGAATTTGTAATTGTCACACTTGCTTTGTAAGCTGAACTTCGTGGAATAAAGTGCTCTTCCACAGTGTAATTGAAACAAGTAGAAGGAATTCTGGTATGTGAGTTCAAATACATTCATGTATTTGGGTAAGTTCATAGAGAAAGATTATTTATTTCATATTCCTTTCCTGTCTGTTTTGTACTGCAAACTATTTTCTGAAGGCTAAGACAAATAAAACCTGTGCTAATATTGAAATGTGAAGAGATCAAAAGATTGACAAGTCGTAGAGATTTTAATTTTTTTCAAGGAGTAGCCATTACTGTAAAATCTAACAGTAAGTAATAATCATTGTCAAGTTGTCTGGGGAAGAAGAGCAGTGTTGCTGCAAATTGATTAATGTGAAGCATATAAAATTCAAATTGACAATACAGACTCAACAGTAGCATAAAATTGAATAGTATAGGACAAGAGTGAATGTGCCTCATTGCCATTGTGTTGTTAGTGCTGTTGTGTCCTCCTTGGATTCTATGATGCAAATGCTGGTTGTGCCATTCCATGGTAGCCTGATAAATGCAGCTGGAACTAGGAGAAGCTATGAAATATCTATTGTACCATCAGACATAATTTGAACTCAATCTTCTAAATGCTTGTTTGAATAGACATTAGTGTTACTCTTTACATGGATATAAGTCCAGGCTATAATGATTGGCAGACTTTCTAATGAAACATTTATGATCACTCTTTATGCTGAGTGAGTGATAAGGCATAGGCATATCAAAATCAGCTGTTTTTAGGCTAAACCCAGTGTAATTTAAAGTTATGTTTGCACATCTACATACTGATTTGCTCTGTATTATATTTACACCGGTTCTCTCAGGGTACCTGAAGTTACTGTTAATTTCTACAGAAGTAAAGAAAAAAGAGGATACCAGAACTTTCTTGGTGTGATTTTTATTAGCTTACAAATCAGCTTCTTAAGGTACAAGGCAAGCAAAGTGAACCTCAAATACTAGATCTTTCAGATCATGTTTTCCCTTTTGGCAAAGTGGTTGAAAATGTGATGGAGAAGCAAAAAAAACGTGTTCCTTCCTCCTTTAAAGACTCTAGTCTCTAGACTCTATTTGTGAGTCCATTTTCTCATCAATCCACACAACTAGTTGTGGGTTTTATCTGGCCTCTGTTTAGTGGAAGTAATTCAGGGGTAGCCCTGTCAAGATTTTCCCAGTAACACAGGGAATTGAGGGAGTCTAGTCTTTGCTGGACTCGTTCCTAATGATTGCAGGCAATGTCCAGAGAGGGACTGCTTCACCCTTAGGTGTGCCTGGTGAAGATACAGGTGTACAGATGAACTGCATCTCGGTGGGTTTGCTGATGCAGGTTCTCTGATACATAATTTCACCTTCCAGGTCATGTTGTCCCTACAGGCACAGCAGGTACAGAAAAAACAAGTAATTGTTTGGGAGAATGTTTTCTAGGACTGTTTTTTACAAAAATAAAAACTTCTGTATGTCTTATTGTTTCTTTGGTATGTATCTGCCTAGATGTATAACATACATTTTATAAAATTCTATATGAATATATTAATGGAGCTGCCAAACTAGAACTTTTACTGCACAAAACTTTTAGTTTTTTCTTTAGAGGAGAAACTTCCCCATGTGGAACAGGGAAAAGAAACATGCCAGAAAGATAGCAAGCTAGTTCAGATAAGCAGAAAAAGTATTTTTCTATAAGCTGATAATAGCTTTCCCATTCAGTGTCAGTTACTCTAGCAAAGAAGGCCTGCAGCAGGAATGCACTATCATTTAATTATTTTTCCAGTTTAAGTGGCTTTATGAAATAAGATCATGCCTCAAGCTTCTCAGCTGAGGTAATTTTGTTTATAATGGGAAGGAAAAAGGGATCATATGTGTCTAAATCATTCAGCATTGCTTTTTCTGAGATGCAGTGAACATTTTATACTTCGAATTTCAGTGCTTCATCTTTTTATAGCACTGTGGGCAGAAACTCCACTTAGGCAGTAGACAGGAGACTGTTGATTTAATAGGTCATATCTTCTGTTCTATACTAATAAATATCAATGATGTCATAGTCTGCCATGACAGAGGTCAGTGCCATCCATCAAATCTCTGAAATTTATGCAGCTTTGGTAAGGACAGTAACTGTTTTCTTCTTCCAAAATAAGGTCATCTTACCTGGGAAGCCTGGCAAAATGATTTTTGTCTTGTTGTAACTTGTTCTAATTTCCTAATTAATTCTCTAGGTGAATGAAAAGGTATCAAAAAGTCATGAGTCTTTTTTTCTGCACTGACTGCCAGTATAAGCTGAAGAAAGAAACCAAAACTGGCTCCATCCACAAGTAGCCTCAAACTTCAGTGATCTGAGCTTTATTTTGGCCCATGGCAGAGCTGAAATCAGATAAAAATACAGATACAACTTTGCTTTTTCACTTGTTTCAAGTTGCAAGGGCTTGGAATTCAGTCTTTTCTTACTTATGTTTCAAGTAGAAAATGTGAGCTGAAGAATGCTTCTGAGTCAGGTGTCAAAAGTACTAAATAAAAGAGTTAAGTAGGTCACAGGAGGAAGAAAATTGGATGTAGTTTATTGGGAAAAATAGAGGTAGTGTAGATTACGTGAGCTAGAGGAGTTTTATAGTGAATAAACCAGGATTCAATTCCATATGTGCAGATAATACATGAATCAGAGCAGACAAAACTACTGTTTTCATTTATTACCTACATACCCTTAGGGTTTTGTACCATGCAAATTGTATCTGCAGTCCCTTTCACTTACCACTATAATGAAACTTACTGTGCAATTGCATAAAGGAGCAGTGTAAAGAAAGCAAATGTATATATTACTTATAAAAGGCTGATCTAATCTGAATCAAATAATTAATTAATTAATTACATGTATTTTGTAGCCTTTGGAGTTTTTTTGTTTTGTCCCTATGTACAGCCCTTTCTTAAATGTAGAATATTCCTGTCTGGCTTGTCACATCTACCAGCTGTCCTATGCCTTTCTGGGTCAGTTCCTGTGAGGGGCAGAGACAGGATAAGAATGTTTGTCAGGGCATCAGCAGAGAGAAATAAAACTCCTGAGGGGCCTGTGGTTGCAGGAAAAGCCCACTGAAGTGCTTTGCCAAGGAACTGGAGTGGAGTTTCTGTGCTACCTGAAGATCAGTTGACAGGCATCAGAAGAGGAGGAGGAGACAGAGGGCTGTGTGTAGGGGCACTTGGTGGGCACTGTGAATGTCAGAGAGTTCAGCAGACCATGGCATGCAGGAGATCCTGCAATGACACTTGAGCAAGGCAATTCCCTCTTGGCCTTTCTTAGGCTGTCCTGAAGAGCTCAAAATAGAAAAGATTGGCATAGCTCCATGTAGTGATGAGCAGTACTAACTGGGGTCTTGAGGACCTGCTCTAAATCAAATTAAAATAAATAATAATCATATCAAACTGGCTCTGAACCCTTCCTCTCTTGATGGGCTATTAGGGACTGTTCAATGATCCAGCCACCAGCCAGGTTCTTAAGGCCTGTCCTGAGAATTGAATGAAGTTGTTTAAATAGTGTGTGAGTAGATAACGAACTGGCAAAATACTGTTCTGGAGGTTAGCGATTAGCTCCATTCAGGATATATTTGACATAGTTGTGTGTCATTTTGCTAGTTTCCATTCTGATAAACAAACCAGAGGTTCTGTCTCAAATCTTGGCCCTGCTTTGTAGTGCACAAGAGTGGAAGCTGCCCCTGAGACCTGGGTGCAGAGCCAGCCCTCTCCAAAGCTGCAGGCTTGGGTAGTGCTGTCTAGACTGGGAGCACTAGCAGAGGGGAGGGCTTCTGGCCAGTGTTTGCCTCACCCTGACAAGTTTCTGATGGACTGCAGAATGACACTGCTGTAGACTGGAATGATTTATTCACCTGATTGTATTCATTGCATTGCCCTGGGCTGGGTGTGCAGGAACAGGGATAAAAGAAACTATATTAAATGTTGAAAAAGGAGGTGAAGTCATAACTGAGTTTTTATTGAAATTCTGTTTATAGTGCTTTGCTTAGAGAAATATTTGTGAATACTTGTATTACTTGCAGATTTTTCTTCTGCTTTTCCCTTGCCATGAATCAAGCAATGGTCCACCACACGAGTGAAAGAAAAATGAATACTGACCCAAGAAAAAATACTGTCAAAGACCATGAAAAGAAGAAAATTGCCAGTAGTCTAGTAAACCAGTCCAGCAAGGAAGGTTTCAATTTACTCTTAGTTATATACTAGTTATTGGGGGAAAAAGAAAAAAAAGATGGTATGTTAAAATTTGAGTTACTGCACAGAAATACAAACATGTTTGCAGCCATGCTAAAATATTGATTTAGTTCTAGGAGTGTCATTGATAGAGGTTTTTTAGTTTAGATAACAGAATGAGGGAAATTGCAATTTCTGTAGGTTTGTTTCTGATGCAAATTTGCAAAAATATGCAATGTCTTTTGAAGATGTCTTTCCAAAAAATCTAACCTGACAGATTTAATAATGGCCTTGAAATCAAAACCTAGCCACACAAAAATAATTTGACATAGAGATGTTTTAAGAGCGTGATTGATTATGTAGTCTACAGGATCCTTAAAGTTTTTAGCGTTCTTGCTTTTTGCTACAGTTATTGTGGTTGAAAGATAATGATTTACTTAATAGTACTTTTTTAGTATAGGTTTTTAGATTCAGAAGTGTAGCATAAGTGCTGCCAACACAAGGTTTGATAGTGATCATGGGAGGGAATCAGGGAAAGTCTAACTCTGAATGTGTGTTTTTATTTCCAAGTTTCTTACTATATAGCAACTTCCCCTTGTATGCCAGACAATTGCTGTTTATAAACCATGAAGATCAACTCTTAAGTGATCCAGGTGGCATGCATTAATGTGGCATGCAGAAATAAACTCTTTATTTCATGCCAAAATTTATAGTAATCAGCAAAGCTGTTCTCTGAAGAGCCCCTCACATGAGTATAAGAGAACTTGTGCTTATTCCAAGACATTAAGTTTTATCTACTTAACAGGAAAAATCCCATTTCAAAATACTAATTAGTTTTGAAATGAATATGACCTTTAGCCTGAGTGCTCAGATGAGATGTAAGTAGGAGTCAACAGAAATACAACTCTACATACAAACACCAGAGCAAAATGTTCATTAGCTCTGCAGTTCTTTGCCAAATTAATTCTCTAGTTGACTGAAAATTCTAAAGCAGACATTTTCCTGAAGCTCAGTTTTTACCAGGAAGGGCAAACTATACCACGTATTATGATGTCTGGACGAGACTCTTTAAAATAATCAGTTTAGCAAAGACCTTGAGTTCAGCTCTCGGACAAGAACTACCAATAAATTTCTACAAAGAACACTCAGTTCATCATCCTAATAAAATTATCTTTCTGTGATGATACCTTATTTTCTCCCACATTTTAAACTCAGGTGAGCAGCTGCCACTAAGTAGCTCAGTTTCCATCCAGCAGTACCAATCCTTCTTTCTGCTTCCTGACTCCTTTCTCACAGCATCATCAACATGGTCATAACTGTTTGCTCCTGTTGTTTCTATTGCAAACAGTACCACCTTTTTTTTATTTTTAAAATCTGTAGGTGGTAAAAACATTAAAATACATGATTGCTTCTTAATATAATTTATTCATTAGTTATTTCCACCAATCTTTGTATTTAACATTTAATATAAGTTTCTTCATAGATGTAGCAGGAGAGCATTTGACTGCATTAAAATTATAAACCTAGTAGTCATAATGAATTCAGTATAAATTTTGACAACTGGCATAAGCTAATACTGGATGCAGTCAGACAGCTTAAGTGCTAATTTGCAGTTTGACAGGTTTTGACATGACAAATGAAATTATGTTTGGTTTTATACAGATAACCTACTGGAGTCAGTGGAGAAAGTGAGACAGATTTTTGTCTTGACATCTTTTAACATCAGTAGAATTCTCAGTTGTTCCTGCTCAACATGTATTTCTAATGGGTGCTCTTGTCATTGAATTCAACTGGCTTTGATTCAAGCACTATTCTATTTCAGTACCAAGTGAAAAGCAAATGAAAAAAATCTGAACTATAGTAGATACAACACTTGAAAAAAATTTGATCTGGTGTAAAGAAGCCCCAAGGAAAAGAAGACGTGTTTAAAATCACGGCATCTTATCTGAAAAAAATTAAGTGCTGAATAGGGTGATGATAATTTGACATCACTGCAGGACTAAATTAAAAGTATGTAAATGTTTAATTTAACTACAGTGCTGAATTTCACGGGGATTTGATATTTGATTTGAGAATAATTGCAACATCTATGAATACTTTTTCAATTTAAGTTAATGATGTACTCTCATTTTTAATTGATCGCTTTATCCCTTCTGAGACTATTGAGTTGTATGTAATGTATGTTGAGATTCTGTGATATCATTGATGTAATTTTTTCATTATGCTTTGCATAATTGTAAATGCTTTTAAATAATGTATAAAAATGTTTAACTAAAAATATTTTGGTTCCCCTTTCAAATTAGAATATTATTATTACCCCAGCTTTCCAAGCATGGTCCTTGAAGCAGAGAATAACAGGGGGAGTGTAGGATCTTTTTTCCTCCTATGGAGTGCAAATCTCAGTACTGTCAGTTCAGCAGTGTGGTATGTGTTATCTCACAAAAAATCTCAAGATATCAGAGTAATTCCAAAATTTCTACATTTTATTGCTGTTTTTCTTTCTGTTGTGTTGTTACTATCTGTTCTTTCAGATGGTTTTTGAATACACACCTCAGTTGTGTTTGTGCCAAGTGGGACTGTGGCCCTGAGTGAGGCAGTGAGATGGGGTCAGAACAAGGAGCAAGGGTTGCAATCCCAAGTATGCACTCTCCCTTCTGTCTAGCAAATGTACCAGCTGCTAGCAAGCCATTATTGCCAGTGTCTCAAAGAAAATCAGTTGGTTCTGTTTCAGTTTGCTTTTGTTTCTCACTCAGTGTTTATAACATTTGTTTGTCATTTTTGTCATTTTATAGAGCTTCCAAGAGCAGCTGTCAGGATCTTAAGCAACATGACATTCCTTTTTGTGAGTTTGTCATACACAGCTGAGAGTGCCATTGTCACAGCTTTTATTACCTTCATTCCCAAGTTCATCGAGTCACAGTTTGGCATCCCAGCTTCCAATGCCAGCATCTACACTGGTAAGGCATTGCCACATAGTGTTACCTTGCAAGGTTGGCTTTGGCTAATACAATGAGTTAATTAAGAGTGAACCAAAGCATGTTTGTTCAAACAGGTGATTGGATCCAGCTTTCTGCATTTGGTTAGATATGCAGACTATTTTTTGATGTTTGTGATATGTATTTAGTAAGATGGGAACCCATTTATATTGTTAAAGGGCTGGATTTTTTTTTGTTTTTGCATAGGCCTAGGCAGATGTTTTCTCATTTGTTGATGAGCTCCAAGGGGGAAAAAATCAACAAAAGCAACCTAGAAAAAACATAGACATGACTGCAAGTTGTGTGCTTTAACAGGTCTCTTAACACTGTTCTTATTTCCTGTGAATTTTGCTTCCTATTTGATCTTTAAAATATCTTTATATTTTTTTCTCCTTAGTGAAAAGTTGTTTATCTGTCCCATCCTTCACTTATCTCTCTCCTCCAGGGTAGTGGTTTTCTCCTCCTTTACACTGAGACAACAATCTAGTCTAGTCAGAACTCCCCAAATTCTCTCCTACTTGTCATTTCAGGAGACCCCTGCTTTACCAATGTACAGCCATGTCCAACTTTTAACAGAGCTACAGACCACAAAATTTTAAGCTTCACACTTTGACTGAGAGAGATGAGAACGTGGCTACTAGAGGCCAAAATATTGTGCAGTCAGGGCCTGTGTCATGCAGATGAGTTTCCTTCTCTTCTAGCTGCGTCAAAGACATTTGTCTTTATAATGATCTTTTTAAATTCTCCATAGTGCTTCTCATGCAGAATAACTGCTAATTGCTGGGCAGTTCTTTCTTCCCTCATATTTCCAGACACTGTGCCCTAGGAATGATAGAGTGGAGTGAATTGTGGGGACACAGGTGAAATATGGGATGAAGCTGCCCAGGAGCATCTGTCAAAAAAGGGCAAAAAGTAGCAGAAGGAAGAAGGAAGGCACATAGACCTCACATGGGAAGAATTTGTCACTTGAAGTGGTTGGAAGAAATGCAAGGAATTTCTAGAGTGGGGAGGAGAAAAGTCAAAGAAGCACCCTGTGGTGCTTTCTATTTGAGAGTTTCTGGGATGAGATATTCTTCAGGGCATGAAATCCCTGTGTTCTGCATATAAGGAGGAAACACTGACTCATGGGACTGTGGTGCTTTTTGAAGCTTAGGGTAGCTACACATGCAGGAGTTTTACTGTAATGAGTTTTGATGGGATGGCTGCACCATAACTTACTTCATTCTCAAGATAAACCAGAAATATTCTTGCCAGGAGAAAGACTCAACAGGCAGTACATTAACAGAGGTGAAACTAGTGTGATCTTCCTGAAGTGTGAAGTTATTAACATCTGTTGTTTCCTCTGTTGTAAATTACTTGATAAAGACTATTAAAATGATCCCAAAGAAGAAGGTGAAATATATCAGGCTGGATGTGCAACAAGGACAAGTGATTGCTGCTTCCACAATCCCAGCTCTTAAACTTAGCACTGAAGTCAACAGTTGTTAATTTTATAAATATTTTTTGTAGAAAGGATGGGAAAGGGAAACTTGGAAATTCTGTATTAGATTGCTACTGGCTAATAAAGTAAGATATGACAAGTTCACAATGTTCTGGTTAGTAAAAGGATAATTTATATGTTATTTACATTATACATCTATGCTTAATATGCACATTGCCAGCTAAGTACATGTACTTCCTGAATCTCTTCATGGAAAGATTTTACTGGCAACTTTTTGTCTTCTAAGCAGCAATTCTTTAATTAAGCCTCAATTTCCTTCAGTTTTAAAACAAGCCTGGCATTTATCATCATCTAAAAACACTGTGCGCCAAATTTCTTGTCTTGAACTGGAGCAGCTTCTACATTTAATTTCTGCTCTTGGAAAAAAGACTGGTTTTGATTCTGTGAAGACTTATTGTTTAGAATCTTCCCCCTGAAATGATATTTTATTCTATAATGTCATTGGTGATGGCAGGATAATTAAGATGTCAGCTGTTTTCCCCTCTTTTTTGCTTTTACAATCTCAACATTTTGATAAATGTCCCTTTCACATACTAGCAGAGAATGAGTATGCTTTGCAATAGTTGTTAAAGTATTTGCAAGTGATTATTTTACTAGCTTCTTGTAAGAGACCAACATCTCTAGCAATTTGGATCATAAAGTTTAGCATCTCTGTAGATGCAGCTGCCAAAAGTAGTTCAAATTCCATGTTTATATGGAATGTATCTTTATTGGCAAAGCCTTTAATTAATGACCTTCTTACATGTCAGTGAGAAGCAATAGACAAGGGAAGAACAGTGCAAGACATTTGCTGAATTTACCACCACCTCAGGACCTGACAAGTCCTGGTCATATGTTGCTGAACTGCAGCAGCAGAAGTTTCATAGGCATGTCTTTGTGTCTTACACTTACCCTAATTGTATTATCTTAATTTTTAAAATTGTGTTTGATCAGTTTGCACTCCACATATCTGTGGAGAGATGAATTGGAATGCTGAGGTAGGAGCCATGGAATCATAGACTCAAGGTTGGAAAAGACCTCCAAGATCATCAACTCCAACCTTTGACCAAATACCATCATGTCAATAAATCAGCACCAAGTGCCACTTCTGGTCATTTCTTGAGCACCTCCAGGGATGGTGACTCCACCACCTCCCTGAGCAGCCGATGCCAATGGTTAACCACTCTTTCTAATGCCCACCTCCTGAACCTCCCCTGGCCCAGCTTGAGGCCATTTCCTCTTGTCCTGATGCAGGTTGCCTGGGAAAGTGCTATTCAGCTTGAGTCCAGAAGGCAGAATTTGCAGCCAGGCTTGGGTGTGCACTCCCAGGGTGGCAGGGTTCTGGGGTCCTGCTTGAGATTGGCACTTGTGCTTTGCTGGAATTAAACATGAGAATGGGAGGAGGGAGATTTGTGTCCAAATCTGGATTTCCTCATCCAATTTCAGTGGGAGAATTGGGCTTATATGTAGCCTTTCTCCCCATTCTAAAGTAAATACAAAACAATGTTTCTGCTTGCAAGTACAATAGTTCTCTTATAGTGCTTCGGCCACTGTTAATATGATAAGGAGGCTTTTATAAATTCTTTGACAACATTCCAGAGGTTTGAAAAGTCTGACTCAGTTTGCTAGTGGAGAATCAGACAATGGAGATCTTAGTGCAGTATTTGCAGTCATCTAATTACGGAATGAAACCAATATTTATGTTTTATGCCATTTCTTTAGGTCCTGTTTTAATGTTGTTTGAACTTCTTCCTGGCAGGTGTGATTATTGTCCCAAGTGCTGGTGTTGGTATTGTCCTAGGTGGCTACATTATAAAAAAGTTGAAACTCGGTGCAAGAGAGTCTGCAAAGTTGGCTATGATCTGCAGTGGTGTGTCTCTGCTGTGCTTTTCAACACTCTTCATTGTTGGATGTGAAAGCATAAATCTAGGGGGAATAAATATACCTTACACAACTGGGTAAGTGTCTTGCATGATTATCTCTGGCAAAACCAGCTTTTTCCAATAAGCCTGATCTAGAAATGTTAAAAATACTGATAGCTGATGTACTGAGGAAGCCACAGGTTCAAATGAGAATTTAGTGAGTATTGTGATATAAACACATGCTATTAATTTGTGGCCCTTGTTTTTTTACATCTAGTTTATGATGCAGTTTATGTAGTAAATCACCTTTTTGAGGGGTGAGAAAATGTATTAGAATGGCCTTCAGTGATGCAGCAGAATAAGAATAGTGTCCTCTGTAGGTTACTTAGAATTTGCTTAGTGTTTCAAAATGTTTTCTGCTCATGACAGTTGTGAAAAAACGAAGTGGATTATGAAGATTATTTCTAAATGGGTTTATTAATTATCACCTTAATAGTATTTTAGGTCTATAGTCCCTATTTGAGAGGAATTACTTGGGTGTGTGCTGTTGACATTAGTGGTGTGCACTGCTTCTGAACTCCTTACTAGTTGTGTGAATGCCCTCCAGTGCTTGCTGGATCATCATCAAGACCATATCATCATCAACTAGACCATATTCCCTAAAGTTTTATAGAGACTGAAGAGGACTGCAATGAGGAAGAAGATGTGGATGTAGGAAGGACTTGAGAGTGAGGAATTTAGTCTGTGGCATTAAGAAATGCATGGAAGGGCATGAAAAAAAGAAAAAAGATATTTGGAGGGAAGACAGTGTGGTAAAACTTGAGACATTTTCACTGGAAAGGGATTCCGTAGAAGCCTGATCATGAGCTTTATTTTCTTTCTTACTTTTTGCATGAGATGTTCCTCAAAATTGCATTCTTCATGTAGGTTAAACACAGGAACAGAGTAAGTGTTTGGAGAGAGTGAACCTGTCTGAAGCAATGTTTTTCCCTTTGCTTTTACATCTGAGGCATGTCTGCCTTAATTATGACCAGATGCTGGGTATCAGATCCATATTTGCTTTTAGGGCTCAGCTCTGCACTCCTAATATTTTGAAGACAATGTAGAGTGTGGAGCAGGAAAAGAGATGATGAAGTGGAGAAAAAAATACTATGGGGCAGAGGGATAGCAAGTGAAAAACAAAGAGGTAAAATGGGAAGCAAGGGAGGAAGAAAATAGGCACTGTTTACACAGAGAATGTTTTGCATTTCTTGTTGCTGGGTGTTACTATGCTACTGTCAAACCTTAATGCTTGAGCAAAGAAAACCAGCAGCTGAAAAATCAAGAGCTGATGAAAAGCTGTTACTCCTTTGTATTCCTAAGACCTAGAGTTAAAGCTTGCTGCTGAGGGGCTGTCAGCAGAAGAAAGTGGCATGGTCATATAACCTCATCTGAGCTTAGTGGGCTGAAGAAGGAGAGAAGAGGGATGGGGAGGGGTGGAATGCTTTGATTGTCCACCTGCTGTTAATGTTTGTGACAGCCTGTGGGTGTAGAGGATGAAAATTAATAGGAATTAAAACATAAACTTCAGATAGGAATGAATCGATCTGTGTGGCAAGTCAGAATGTCCCTGCCTGACTAATGAGAAGCCCATACTTTTCTGTTTGGCAAGTCCCACTTGTTTTAAATCTTTTTCTAAACTGAAGACAGGGTCTACTATTGTCATGTAACTCACAGTCTTCATGCTGGATTTGTTAGAGTATCTAATTTTTTTTTTAGTAAGCAATAACATTTGCAGTAAATACATAACATCAATTGAAATAGCCATCAATTCACAGCTGTTGTGCAAATCTGCAGTACATTACTTCTTTCCACATTCATGTAATTGTTCTTATTGAGAAAAGAGGTGAGAAATAGTGATTGCAAAATTCTAACAACTTGTTGTTATATATAAACTCTTTGAAATCAGTACAAAAATCCTATTGACTGTAATGTCATCAGAAATTGAGAATTACCAGCATGTTACCAAGCATAGTTCAGCTGGATTTTTTTAATGCAAAGACAAAGTCCACATTTATTATCAAAATGATAGTAAAAAAGCAGCACTACACATAAATTAATCTTGAATAGCTGATATGGTAAGCATTCTTTTAATTCTCATGATCAATCATTTGATCGTTTCAAATAATTTACTTAGTAGGCAACTCTTTAACTCAGCCATCAAAGAATGTTGTTGGCCATGGAATTAAAAAAGCATGCTTATATTTTGAATTTAATAAAACACATCATTCATTCCCTACTTCAACTAGTGCAACATAGGGATGTCAAAGCCAGTTCCATTACAAGACTGGATAGGGGAAGCAGCAGAGCTGCCTGGTTTGGGATAAATGTATTGCATGATACTCTGCCCTAACATAGCAATGCCAGGTCTGATATCTCCCGCACTGGCACCAACCCAGAGATCTCAGATGTATTGGGCAGTGTAGACATACCCTGCAGGATAATTTCTGGACAAATATGTTCATTTCTACTGTTTATTTTTTAAACATATAAGCTTGAAGTTTTTTCTTTAGTGAACTGAGCCCTAAGCCACTACAAAGGAGAGGGGTGAACTAGATTTCAGTTAACACAGAAGTTATGCGCATACCAGTGCTCAGAAAAGTAGGCAGTGACATTTCATAATTCAGTATGTTTCATAACTCAGTATTTTTCTAACTGTACCAGCTGCAAAGAAGTGAATGGGACCTGGAGGCATGCACAGATTAGAATATATTGGAAAGGATTTTCCACTGTTTTATGTTGGGCACAAGCAGTTTTGCTGTTGCTGGCATGTCATCAGCATTTCTGTTCTCCGGAAGATCAAGGGCACCTCTGTATTATTCATCTCAGCATTTTAGAATCTATTGCTCCATGCCCCAGCCTTGTTCTGAGGGTGTGTTTGATGTTTGAATTGCAGTGTAAGGAGCCTTATGTCAAACCACAATATGGCATCCCTTCTCTTGCACCATAACAGCATCCAGGTGCAAAGTCCTGAATGAGTGGATGGTCTGGACAAGAGTCCAGATGGCTTTTAAGTATTTCTAAGGAGGGAAGCTCCACAGCCACCCTGGACAACCTGTGTCACCACCCAGTCACCTTCACAGTGAAAACTGTTTCCTGGTGTTTGTAGGGAACCTCCTGTGTTTCACTGTGTACCCATTGCCACTGGGCACCACTGAAAAGAGCCTGGCTCTGTCTCCTTTGCATCATCTCTTCACATATTTACAGGCATTGATGAAATCCCCCTGAGCCTTTTCCAGGCTGAGCAGTCTCAGCTCTCTCAGCTTTTTCTCAGATGATACATGCTCCAGACCTTCCATCATCTTCATGAACTTTCAATATGTTGTTGTATAAGGCAGCTAAAACAGCCTCCATGGTGAGCTTACTCATAGTGTCAGATTCCTGGATTAGTTCAGTTTCATCTCTCACATTTCTGATATGTAATGAATCAACACAGACTCTTTGATTGCTTTGTGTTGTTTCGGTGCAAGTAAAGTTTACTTAAAGTGTGCAATTGGCTTGCTGAGGTATTTCACATAAAAAATATTTACATTCTTCCTCTTGTATCATCTGTGTATGTTTCTGTTATTCTTGTATCTATTTCAGTGCAATCAGTGGTATCCCTTAACTTGAAAGCAGTGACTAATTGGATCAGAACAATGACAACAAAGAAGGAATCCAGCTAACACAGTGAGAGGGTCCCTTGTTTGACAGCTACACAAAAATTGCATCATTGCTGCAATTCCAGCTGCTTGCCAACAAGGAGACTGCAGATCTCTGCCATCCAGAATGTCCTTCAATACCAATCCAAAAATACTGCTATCAAATTAAGATAATCCTTTTTATCATATAGCCCAGTATTAATATTATAGAAACTATGTGGTGAGGTTATCTCCTTCCCTTTGTATTTTCTTGGTTTTGTTGGTTACTACAGTGATATCAATAAAACCATGTACAAAATCAATAATTTGTTTAGATGTTACTAAAATATAGTTTGACTTCCTTTTTTTTTTAACTGCATTTCATTTAAATTGTAACCTTGTGGGAAGAGGGTCTACTTTTTTTTCCCAATATATGTTCATTGACTGCCAGTACAGTGATGTTTTGGTCCAAGTCTGAGTATGTAAAATAGCAGGTTACAGCTCAAAAAATTCAGGCAATAAATCTCATTTTATATTTTCCTTTTACTCACTTTACTCCTGTACCACAAGCCTTCCCTCAAGTAAAAGTTGGAGAGAAAAACATGACTTAGAAAAAATGTTAGAAACTAGAGTCCTTTACATTGTTAGTCACATCTAATAAAGGTCTTCCTTTTAACAGCTTTTGTAGCATTGTGACATGGAGACATAGAACAGTCTCCCTGAGAAGTGAAGAAACGCAGTTTGGCAGAAGGGATTCTGGATTTTGTCAAAGCACATGTTTAGTGAACTTGCAGTTGAATCTTATTAATGGAAGGAGCAGCATCATTGTTTGTAATTGAAAGAATAGTTCAGGAAATGCTGTCATTAGGGGTTGGTTTCTGTTTGTGTGCCTTGTGCATGACTGGTGTCCTTGTCTGCTCAGGTGCAGCAGTGTTGCAAGTTGGCAGTATCTGCACCTGCTGAAGCAAGCAGAGCAGCTCTTTCTCAGACATCCCATGTTTCTACAGCAGCTGCTGCATTGAGACTAGGCTGCTTTTCCCACAGATCAGTTCATGAGCAGGATGTACTAGCTTGGGTGAAATTTCCCTAAGAACCTACTCTTAATGGCTGATGGAGGTAAATCTGTGATGTGCTGTGCTGTAATTCAGGGATAAATACTTAGTTTTCCTTTGTGGAGAGTAGGCAGCCTCCCAGTGTCAGAAGTCAGGATTAGTAGAGTGCTTTGGTTCAGCTTACTTCCAGAAATACGTATACCTTCAGGAAAAAATTATTCATTCCTGAAAGAAGTGTTCAAGAAATCTGTTGTGGTATGTGTTGTATGGTTGATCACATGTGATGAAAATGAGATTACACAGACACATGTTAATAGAGATTTCATGACCCCAGCATCTGAACCTCCTTCATCCTTCATTTCCCACCACTGAAAGAGGAGTGAACAATGAGTGATGAGTGAAGGTAATGAAGATGAAAGCATGAGCCTCTTACAACTGTTTGATAATGAACTTCTGGGAATGCAGTTAATAGATGATTTTGTGTATTACATGTTCTTTAAAGGATAACAAAACCCATACCTCTCTGTGTGCAAGGTATTTGCTCTAAGCAACAAAAAGAAATTCCCCAAATAAGCCTTACAGTGATATGCTGAGGACAAAAGGTGGTGAAAGCTGGAGAGACAGCTTGCAGTAACTTGTTATTAATTTGAGCATATTTGTTTTGTGTATCTCTAAATTTAAGTAATCTTCCAGGACAAACAAAAAAATGTGCTTGAGATTAAATTATCACAGTGGTCTCAGTTCAATTTCCAGTTTCATATTTCTCATTTCTTGCATGCCTGATTTAATTCACCTTATTTTTAAGCTGATTCCTAACCTCTGTGTCATGGTAATGTTCAGCAGAGCAGCTGAAGCTTACATAGCTGAAGTTAGCTATGGAAGCAGAGTGAGACAGGGAATGGGTTCTCCTGTGGAACCCTACATATCTGCTCCTGAGAAGGGTTTTTAGGTGGTGGAGGGTTAAGAGATCAGAAGAATTTGTGCTGCAGGGTGAGAGAGGCTGGAGAGTGGAACCAGAGCTGTGCTTCTCCTGGCAGTCTGGGCTGTCCCTGGACCTGGTCCTGTGCAGTGTGGCAAAGCCCTGTTGTCAACAGGAACACGGTACAAGGGTCTCCCAGGCAGATAGTGAAGGCTCTTCTTACGCCAAGTATTGTCCCATCTGGGACATCCAGCTCAGCAGGCTAACTAGGATTTCATAAAAATGCTACCTAAATGCTTCTAAAAATGCTGCCTATTCTGTTGGTGTGAAAAGCTTTTGTCACTTTGCTGCTGAAATTTGTATGTTCCCGAGGAATGTTTTGATGATTTGGAGTTTTTTCCATTGGAGAAAAAGTTCTGTTAAGAGATTACTGGAACAATCTGCCCATTGCTATATGATATGTTGCTGCATACTGCTTACTGAAATCCAGCAGGATATAATATGACAAATTTCAGCTGGTAGCTGAGAAGGTGATAGAACCGCTACCAGTCCCAGGTATTTCACTTCCTGCTCAAGCTGCAACTTGTTTCTAAAAGTGTACCTTGTTTGTTTATGGAGCAAGAAACAAAACTTTCAGAAAGGCTTTGCTTACCATCCAACTAGACCATAAAGTGTAAAGTATATCCAAGAGCTAAATTTGTGAATCTGATTTGTGTGATCAGTAGATAGTCAATAAACATTTGAAAGCTACTTATTTAATTGTCTGCAGAAGTGCAGAGATGGGAAGACAAGCTTATTCAGCAAAAGCAAATAGTGGTGTATAAATACAAGAAAACCAGTCACATGGAATGCTCTGAGCAGCAGTCATGCTACTGCGTGCCACTGCCGACAGGAGGTGAGGTGACACACGGCATCGGTGCCAGTCACTGTGTGCAGAAAGGCTCCCGAGCCAAGCCTCTGGTCTAGCCAGGGGTAGATGGGAACAGAAGAATATTCCTTGTGGTCCCTGGGGTAGCTGGGGTGCAGTAAGTCTGCTGCTAGTTGTTTATCTTCACACTGGCCTTGCCCACATCACAGCCATAAAGACAAGGTAGCAGCAGCCCTTGTGAGGCTCTGCAGCCATGGCAGTCTGTGAGCATGTGTACAGGATCTCGAGGATGCAGCCACAAACCCAATCCAGATTCCGTTCAGCTCCTGCCTGGCTGAGGAGGTGCTGAAATTCCCTGGATATCTACTGATCTGCTCAAGAGCAGAGGTACTTGAGGTTGTTTTAAACAGCAGTAGCCATTGAGCAGTACTGAGAGAATGACAGAACAAACAAGACAGAGCAGTTAATTCAGTATTACAGTGTAGTGCCCAGTGTGGAGTTGTTGTGCATTCCAGTGTAATTCTCAGACATTAGTATGGTTACCAATTCTCAAGGACTACTGAAGTGAAGTAAGCTATTTGCATTTTGGCCAGAGCACTCAAAGACCAGGCATAGATTTGTGTAGTTTTAGGGGAGCCGTGTAGGTACAGTTGTTAAGCAGTCCTCACTCAAGGATGGTCAAGAAGCATTTAAAATATGTCCAAATCCATAAAGGATTTAGGCTTTGGCCACATTTTGGGGAATGGTATAGAGAAGCAGAGTGGTGATTGATTTATGGACATTTAGTAAAAGCACAGCAGTCTTCCAGATCTAGAGCTTCCTGTAAATTTCACATATTTGTAATACATAAGTCATACAAGCATTGTTTTCTGAACAGCTGTTGGTATGTAGGAGAAGATGCCCATTAGTTCACATTAATTCACAGAATCCTCACATCTTGTTGCTGAATCTTTCATTAGTAATCAACAAGAAATTACTGCAACTTAGAATAAACATATAAAATAGTGGTGTCTTAATTCATAGAGGGAAAAAAAACCCAGGAAAAATACACCTAGCCAAATATGATACAAATTTTAAACTTTGGTATTATTTCTTTTATTGTATTTTTAGTTGATGGCAAGGATTACCTGGGTGTTCTTCTATATTTTTATTTCTATATGCTTAAGTCATATATATATATAACCTAGAGGTAACACAGTTTTGTCTAATCATCAACTCTCAGTCCCAGAGTTAATGAGTAGGATGTTTGCTGCCTCTGTACAGAAGAATATGGGTATCTGTGTGTGCTCTACTAGCATGTTCTTTTTCCTTTCTTCAGTCCCACTCTTGCCATGGCCCACAGGAATCTGACTGGAAGCTGTAATGTTAACTGTGGATGTAAGATTCATGAGTACGAGCCTGTCTGTGGATCAGATGGAATAACATATTTTAACCCTTGCCTAGCTGGCTGCATCAGTGGTGGAAACCACAGCACAGGGGTAAGTGCTTCACCCACCATCCACACAAAACCCATGAGTAGCCCCCTGGGACCAGTGCAGATGGGAGACTTCTCTGTTCCTTGCTCAAGCATCCCTTCTCTGAGCTTCAGAGAAGTTTTCTGGAGGTGACTTGTCCATCTCTGAGCCTTTCCATGATTTGAAAGACTGGCAATGCTGTTACTGCATGGTGCTACCCCACTTCCTTTAGTTATATACCAGTTTGAGGCACAAGTTCATTTGTACTAAGTGAATCCTCCAGTTGAGTGAGTGCAAATGCCATGGGATAGGAAGGGCTGGTGTTTCCCATACAGACCCCAAAGACCTTGGTGGCAGTGACCTGCATGCCTGCTGTTCCTACAGCGCTTGGAGGGAGTACCTTGGGTCAGTGTCATCTAACACTGCCAACATAGGCAGCCATATCAAACTCTCTTTCTTCAAGCTTAGTCTTACCTTTTAGAGCAGTTTGGGTTTTTTTGTGACTCCCTCTCTGAACTGAAGGAAGAACTTAACAGGTAGTTGGAAGTGTTTTAAACTCATGTTTGAAACTCATCATTTTGCCCAAGTATCTCCTGCACCTGCACCAGTGCACTGATAGGTCTGTGGTTTGCCTGGCTAGGTAAAATCTGCCCATGTGTTCTGCTCTTGTAAAACAGTTTGACCAGTCCCATGGCCTTTTTCTAAACCTTGATGCTAAATCAAGGTTGTCATCAAGCTCAAGTAGCAAGAACTTAAAAAGATGTTAATAATCCACTTTCTTTCTTGAAAATACATTGCTTGTTACAACCCAGCATTCTAGTTATGCTGAACTGGAGAAAGACATCCTGCTGGTAAAACCAAACCATAGAAATTTGGCAGTTTCCAGGACTAGTCACAAGAAGACAGCTGAAAAGTAGAATCTGACTTTAGTATCAACAGAGAATTATGGTCATATTATTTTCTTTAAAAAATGAACTCTTAAATTCTTCTGTTACAGAACTGTCCTTTAAAAAAGGATAATTAAGACAGAAAAGAAGTAATGTAAACATTGATTTTCTTAGGGCTTGATTGTGCTTTCCAGAAAGCTTAATTAAAAAGTATCAGTCTCCTAATTTGCAGTTGTGAAGCAGGAGCCTGTGAAGCAGGAGGATGTTAGGTCCAGCACTGTGTTTTCTCAGGTCACCTGGATAATGGTCATGTTCATATATAGATGCCACTCTTTCCCTTTTTTAGTTTCCTTTTTTTTTTTTTTTTTTTTTTTTTTTTTTTTTTTTTTTTTTTTTTTTTTTTTTTTTTTTTTTTTTTTTTTTTTTTTTTTAGAAAATTGTTTTGACTGATTGGAAAAGCCTATCTATATAATCTAATTTGTGCTTTCCTGGACTGAGACAGGCTTCATCTTTGTTGCATTTNTTTTTTGACTATCTTGCTGTTTTTTAGTAGAAAATTGTTTTGACTGATTGGAAAAGCCTATCTATATAATCTAATTTGTGCTTTCCTGGACTGAGACAGGCTTCATCTTTGTTGCATTTCATCTGATATTGAACTGGCACTATTAATTTATTTAGTAGGGAAATATTCTAGGAGTGTGTACTCTACAGATTTTGAAACATGCTATTGCACCTTATGGTTTAAGAAAAGATGCTTCATGGCCTGAAGTTTTAACTCAGTATCTAATGGTGAATAGAATAGGGCTGACATTGCTTGGAAAATGAACTTTTTTGGATTAAATAATCCTTTTTGTATGGTGCTTTTAGAAACAAAAAAATGTAAGTTCGTGCCACTGTATAACACAAAATGTTCCTAACGTGTAATATTTGGATTTAAGTTCGTAACATAGAGTGTTTTCAAAATAAACCATTTCAAAGTTCAAACTAAGAGGAAAGGATACCAGTGTACAGTTCATACCTGTTTTATATATATTTATACATATATCTATTCCTATACTCTTAATAGTTCTGTCATGCTATGTCTGTCTCATTTAACACACAGACTTAGTTTCACTGTTGATGAATAAAGAGTGTGTGGTAAAGAGGTCTAATTTCTGTAGGATTCCTATTTGACATTTGCATTTGGAAGCAATAAAGAGTTTAGGGTGAGGTACTGTAGAAAGAAATCAGGTACTCATGTGATGTTAGAGTGGAATGCTGCCTTGGGAAACCAGCATCTGTCATTGGCTTTGTTTCTAAGTGATGTTGGGCAAGTCAGTTAAGCAGAACTTCTCCCTGTTGTTCATTAGTCTTGTATTCTTCATATTCTGGATGATGAACATGAGCAACAAACACAAGTTTCACTTGTAGATGGGCTGCCTAGATCTGTATTTGAAGGCATGAAAATTTACATTTAGAATATATTTAGTTGGGTATAATGGAAAATGTTCTGAAAAAAGGATTCCAGTTGTCTCAAATTAGTCACCCATGTTAGTGAAAACTTTGATCCATTTCAGTTACTTAATTACAAAATAAAGATAACATCAATACCTCATAACTGTTTTGAAGATAAATGACTCATTTTTGAAAGAGTTAAGCTAAAATAGTGAGTTACAGAAAATCCAAATGACATATAAGTCCTTCCGTCTTTGTAGTAGAATATTCCTAGTCTGAGGAAAAGAAAATACCTGAAGTCACATTTTGAAAATAGGAGGTAAAATATTGGATAAATAGATACACTATTAAGATATTCAGCTAAATACCATGGGGAAAAAAGTGTGAGGCTACATGATGGCATGGATGCATATAAAGGTACACATCAAAATTGACAAACTGCCATGATTTGGATATGTCTTGGTGTCTAAGTGCTTAAATTCTTATCTTAAGATGATTTTGTAACTTCTGTGCCTGTGTGGTCCAAGGTTTGATGAAAATTGAAACAGAAAGCTTGTTCCTGTAACATCACATATGTCCTGGCCAGTTTCTGCTGTAGCACTGGAATATACTGATCTACTGCACCCCTTTGCCATACATCAGATGAAAACAGAAGTAGCATAAAGGTGAAAGAAGGCTATTTCTGATCTAGGTCTTCCTCCCCTTGTTCAAATCACAGTCCTGTTTGCCTGTGAAATGCTACTTCTTTATTCAGTCTCTTCATCTTAATTTAATTCTCTTTGTCCATTCAGTCATCTCTCAGTGAGTCCTCCAGTCTCACTCTTTTAGTCTTTGCTTTCCCTTTATTATTCTCTGTTTTTGCTCCTTGCCAAACCTACACCCACATCAGGTGGAGAGTCCTTAGCTTCAAGTGTGAAGTGCAGCTTGTTGCTCAGTGGCCAGATCTGGGTCGCTTTCCATTAACATGGCAGAAGACACTGCCTGAATATGAAAGTCAGCAGCTTGCTGAATTTCAGAATCTGGCATTTTCACTGCTGCCTGAAGAGTGTTTCCTCACATTTTTTGTAGTACAATAGAAACAATATTTTTCTCCAGTCTCCCTGTCAGAAGTGATTGAATTGTTTTGTCAATATTTCCCAAATTCTTTCCAGATTTTTTAAAATAAACTCAGACTAAATAAAGCAATGGAAAGGCAACCTCATCACAGAGAGTCCCGGCCAACTTTAAAATTACTTGGAGATATAACTTTGCTTGTGCTTGTGGTAATGGTGCTCAAGGCAGAAGATTCTCTGAGAAGTACCACAGGACTGTTGTATGATATCTCTTTGCAATGTCTTTCTTACACATATTTTTCAGATGGAAATGTTATTTTTTTTTCCCTAGGTCAGAAATTACACAGAATGTGCCTGTGTGCAGAGTCGCCAGGTGATCACTCCGCCAACAGTGGGCCAGCGCAGTCAGCTCCGGCTGGTGATTGTCAAAACCTACCTGAACGAGAACGGCTACGCTGTGTCCGGGAAGTGCGACCGAACCTGCAACACGCTCATCCCATTCCTCATATTCCTCTTCATTGTAACCCTTATAACAGCATGTGCCCAGCCATCAGCAGTCATAGTGACACTCAGGTGAGAACTCCGTGAGGTTTCGTAAGTATTTTTGCCATGCCCGCTATCACCAGTGCCTGTGAAGCTTGTGTAGCCTTAAAAAGTGAATAGAATCCTTGTGTAGCCTTAAAAAGGGAAAGTGCTGACAGGGATAGGGTGAAATCTGTTTGTATTTAAAATATGTAATATTCTAAATCCACTTGAAGAAACATGAAGTGTGTGGTAAATTCCAGGTGCTATAAGGAGAAAACAAGCAAAGCTTCATGGAAGAAAATGATTGCTTTTGGAAAGTTTTCAACCTTCTTAGAGCAGTGGGTTTGGATTTTCAAATGCAAATGAAAAAATTAAATATTAAAAATTTAAAATGATCCTTTTCTCATTCTTAAAATAGCTCATTCCAGCCACATGCCTGGTTTTGAGTTTTCCTTTTTTATCTTCCCAAGAATTTTGAACTTGTACTGTAGTAATGGTGTTATTGCCACTACTATAGGAATAGAGATCCTTTGTGGGAAAAAGGCAGTAGCATTTATTTGTCAATTTGAAAAAAAAAATCGTATTTCTGGATTGGCTTTTCCCATCTCTGCCGTCTAGTTTGATAAACATAATTATTTCCTGTAACATCTTTGTCCATGTAAAATGTAGTTCCTGTAAGAATTGTTTTGCTGATTTTTAAAGAAAAGTGAGCTGAAAAAATATAATATGGTCTACTGCTAAAATAATTTTGTATTTGTTTAATCTATGTTGCTGCAATTTAAAGAGAAGGAGAAATCAGAGGAAAATTATATAATTATTTACTAGAATTTACAAAGCATACCCATAAGCATTGGTTCTGCTAGTAGCAGGAGGACAAAGAATGGTTTAAAATGTCTGTTTGGTTTGGGATCTGAAGCTAAAGAGCTCAGAGTTTAAGAAGAAAGTTCTTTTCAGATGAAGATGAGTTGGAAAATAAAAGAGAGAACAAAATAGTTCAGTTGGAAGGGACCTACAATGAGCACAGAATCATAAAATCTGGAGGGACTTGAAGGGACATAAAAAATTTCCTAGTTCCAACCCACTGTCATGGACAGGGACATCTTTCCTAGACCAGATTGCTCGGAGCTCCATCCAGCCTGAACTTGAACTCTTCCAGGGATGGGGCATCCACCACTTCTCTGAGCAATCTGTTACACAGCCTCACTGCCCTCACAGTGAAAAATTTTCTCCTAATATCTAGTCTAAACCTGCTCTCTTTCAGTTTGAAGCCACTGCCCCTTGTCCTGTCCTTACATGCTCTGGTAAATACTCTTGCTAGTCATCCAATCCAGCTGCCTGACCACTGCAGGACTGAGCAGAAAACCTGTTAGTGAGGGCATTGACAGGCAGGAGGCACAGCCACCTCTAGGGAGCCTCTTCCAGTGTGTGAGGTACTTGTGAGAAACACACACAAAATGATCCAGATGCAAATGGACATCCTGTCCATGAGACCAGGTTAGAGCTGACTTGAAATAAATCCCTACAAATGCTTGAAATGCTTGCGGTGTTCATGTCTGGTCTCAACACTAGTTGTTTAGCTGCATTAATTGCTAACATAGAAACGCCTTTTGTCATGGTTTTGTGTAAAATCTGTCTTCAAATTGAGCTTTTTTTAACATCAGTCATGTACCTTTTATTTCTGTGAGAAGGGTCCCAGCAAGTAGGATTTCCTTCTGGTAGTGTTGTCTTTACAACTTTACCCTGACATTCTGGGACAAACTTAGGCCCCTCTAAAAATAATAATAATAATGGCAAATCTTTGTAATAGGTCATGGAACTTTGGAAAACATGAGGCAGGTTGCGACTTAACTTTGGCATCCTTAGGCTCAGTTGTGAGCACAGCTGAGAAACCCTCTGGCAGGAATCTTTGTCTCACCCCCTCCAAGGACAGGCACTCTCTTGCTGTCATTTTCTCAGCTCAAGTGGCTAAGGTTTCTGCAGGAGCCCGCTGCTGGCACAGGGAGGATTGTGCTGTGTCACACTGAGGAATTTTGCCTTCCAGTTTGGTTTTCAAAAAATCCACAGAATGGGTGTAAAGGTCACTGTTGGGACATTGAAGCCAGGCACTCGGGGCTGGGCAGATCAGAATTCCAGCTGGTCAGCCTCACCTCAACTATTGTGTGCACAGCACTTTTATAATTCAGAGACTTCTGGCTTTATTCCTTCTGTCTCTGGATTTCCCACATGTAAAATAATAGTAATAATTAAAAAATTGCCTTTGCATTGCAATTAGCAAAGGCAAATAAAGATCAATATTGCAGTGAACTTCACAATAGTGAGGTACACTAGGGACATCTCCAACAGGATTTTGTAATGTTCAGTACATAAAATGGGGGCCCACACACATGGACAGTGACACCTGCTGTCCCAAACCACATATTGTGCTTTGTGCATTGGTCAAAGGTCTGTGGCACAAGTTGGTTCTCCAATTTCTCAATGTCTTGACTTGAAAACTGGATTTTACAGATGCATCCCTTTGACTGTAGAATTTTTGTGTGTTTTTATGGTCATTAATGTAATTAGAGGCTATCTTAAGACCTTTAGATTAAGAATTAAAAATATTTTAAAATCAGTAGATAATTCGTCATTTATGAAAATTGTGGTTGCAGTGTGAAATTTTGTTCCTTTGTATTTCGCCTTTGTAAGCTTGACATTTTTCCTTTGAAACTGCTGGGAGGAATCTTGTATTACTTGAATTGAAAAGGTATTTAAAGAGACTGTTTGATGTTTGTACTGGTATTCTTCTTAAAGTAGTTCCAAAATGCTTATGCTATACAAAGATTTGTTAAATTCAGAAATTGAGTCCAGCCTTCAACAATTTAGTTATCTATTAATTCTAATTTGCCTCAAAAATATTAAGAAAAAATAAATTAAGACAAATAAAATAATAGAAAGGTATCATAAGAAGCCATATAAACATTTGGTATGGATTCTCTAAATTTATTTAATGTGTTTGGATCAAATTCTTCAGGCCTTATGCAAGTAAAGAAAGGTTCAAAAGGCATGACTGAGATTTTGATTAAACGGGTCCAGGAGGAGCCGGCTGTATTTTTTCCTAACAGTAGGAGTTAATGATAGTAGAAGCTAAAGACAAGAAATTTGGACAAAGATTTTCTATAGCTGTGAAAAAAGCCATGAGGCAGAGCCAGAACATACCAGGATGATTATGGGTTATGCCTGTTCCTTCACTGGAGTTTTCTGTTCACCTGCTAGGTCCGTGGAAGACGGGGAGCGACCCTTTGCACTAGGAATGCAGTTTGTTTTATTAAGAACTCTTGGTAAGTCTTACAGTAGCTCAGCATTTCCATAAAGGCCATGTTCAGCTTAAAGCACCATAAAAGTATTAAAATGCCATAAATATGCAATTAATTGCTTGGCTAACTGTATTAGTAATCTAAAATTAATAACTTCTGAAAATGTGGTTAATTTACTTTTTTAGGTTACTGACTTTCTAGAACAACATTGTTTTGCAAAAAGATAAATTATTACAGCTTCAAATTGTATTTAAAAATTAATAGCTACTAAATACTATTTTACCAGGATTTTTTAGCTTTCAAAGAACAGAATTCTGTTGCTTTCAGCAATAAAAATAGTTTTTCTAATTTTAAAATAAGCATTTGTTATTTAATGTCTTAATGTCTTCTAATATTATTTAATGTCTTTCAAGTGTTTCAAAGCAAAAATGGATAGATATTAAAAGTCTTTATTTTTCAAAGTATTCTCTTTCAAACTCTTGAATTTCTAAAATCCTGCCCATAAAGAACACTCCAGGTGTTCAGTTAATATGAAATACATGACTAGAGCAAGCAAGTTCTATTCTAAGAGAACAAGAGAAGCCCATAAAGCTGCATCTTCAAGTTTTGTTTGAGGAAGGATGTTTCAATCTCATCTTAAAGATGTATTTCTGGAGAAAGCAGGAGCATTCCTTGGACTGGCTGCATTTTTTGCTGCCTTAGAAGGTAGTCTGTTTCTTGGGAAGTTCTATGCAAAAGGAAATTTGTTATCTCAATGGTCTTACCCCTTAAATCTATCTTCAAAAATACTTTGTGATCTTCAGTGCTTTTTCACCTTAATCTAAAACCAGCACCTTTCCCATCTCATGGGCAAAGGATTTTCAGCAGGTAATGCTATGGAGGTAATGTATTTCCCCTTCTAACTACCTGAGAACAAAATTGGATTTTTTTTTGTCGGGGACACGTAGTTCAAGAAGAGCTGTTTGGGGAAAGCAGATAGTAGTATCTGTTGTAAGGTGCTGCTGCATTGCCTTCTTTCAATTCTCTCCTATTTGTGGTAGGTTTCATGTGTGGGGTAAATAGTATTGGTGGGAAGATTGGCTGGCCAGTTTTCCATGTTTTACATTTCTTGTGAGAACAGCAGTGTAGAAATCTCAAAAATATTCAACCTACACTCTTTGGCTGGGGCATGTAGTTTCTTTAGAAGTTTTCCACAATATGCTAACACGTATTATTTCTCTTGCTATTTTTGTTTCAGCTTACATTCCCACTCCAATTTATTTTGGGGCTGTTATTGACACCACGTGCATGCTTTGGCAACAGGATTGTGGTGTACAAGGATCTTGTTGGGAATACGATGTCACCTCGTTTCGTTTTGTCTACTTTGGGTTGGCAGCTGCTCTCAAGTTCGTGGGATTCTTTTTTATTTTCCTGGCCTGGTATTCCATAAAGTGTAAAGAAGAACAACTGCAGAGACAGAGTTGGAGGGCTTCGCCGGTGAACACTGTGAGTGAGATGGTTGGACAAGCTGGACCCCAACAAAACTATGCACGAACTAGATCCTGCCCTACCTTCAGTTCCCAAGGAGACATCAATGTGGCACAAGGAATGAACTGCTTAGCACAGACCTACCCTGGCCCTTTTTCAGAAGCAATAAATTCCTCAAATGAAAATGCATTGAAAGAAGTCACTGTTGAGATATAGACCCATGGCTTGGTAATGTAATATTTAGTTTTGTTGGTTGACTTAGTTACGGCGCCTTGTAAAACACCTGTGCCTTCTATTTTTAATCTAAATGTAACACGTGATAAAACCAACAAAGCTTGATGCAAACAACCATAATATGTTCCTGAGGGCTGGATACCTCAAACCAACCCAAGTTCTTATTTCTCCCCTCCTGACAATGGAGTTTTAAAAATTGTGTTTGTAATTATTTCAGATGTGTCCATTAAATGTCCATGCTCTGATCTAATATAATTGTAAAGTTGAGATGTTACAAACAGCAGAAGTCAGTGGAAGAGTGACAAAAACTCATATTGTTGATGTCTAGACTCACAAAAATGAGTAAATGTATTGTCAACTTCATATCCACAAATTGTATTTTTAAGAGATGAGTGATTACTGTGAGTTCTGCTACAAAGCACAACTGAACTTATTTAAACTATGCAACTTATTTGGATAATTGTATGTGCAGCAAATTAAATTTAAAGCTTGCTTTTAAAGACATTACTGCAACTGAATTTCAAAGGGGCTATTTTCAGGTGTAATCATTAAATTAAAAAATAACATAAGGTTTAAAGTACTGTTAATAACATGTCAAGCCATACAAGAGTTATGCATCAGGTAATGTTTGCAAATATTGAGTTGTAACATCTTTATTCTATCAAAATGTGCATTAGTTTTCATCTGATGGGATGTAGTCATTCTTCACAAAGTACGTAGGATACTGTAATGCTTGAAGTAAAAAACTTCAGTATTGGTTTATAGTAACATTAAGATGTAGGAATCATACACACATACCAGATCAGATATGTGCACATTTCTGCAATGTTATTTGGGTGGCTGTTATTAGCACCAAATCCATATTTTCTTGAAGAAGAAAACAGCTGCTTATAGCTGGATAGGAAGTTTGGCTGTCCTTCAGACTTGCATGCCAGTGTATCTCAGCTTCAGTGGCAAAGTCCCGAGGGAGAGGTAATGGCCTCATCTGGTGTCTGGGACCTGGCGGGTCCCTCGCAGCCAGCAGCAGAGTTCAGGCTGCAGGAGTGAGCAGAGGAGCCCCTCTAGGGGCTGCAAGCAGCCTGCCCACCATGGTGCCAGCTCGGAGGCTCTCCCTGCACTCCTGGCACTGCCGAGGCACGGAGCACCCCGACACCCAGGGCAGCTGGGATGGGAGGCTGGCTCAGACCCTCTGCTTTCTACCACCCAGCTCAGACCCTCTGCTTTCTGCCACCCAGCTCAGACCCTCTGCTTTCTGCCACCCTTCTGCCTCTCCAGTGCCCGGTCGGTGCTGGGCAGGCTGGAGGGACAGGCTAGGAGGTCCTGGCTGTGTGGTGTGTCCCACACATGTCTGCCTTTCCTTTTCTCAGCTTCACTGAAAGCTCCTGTGAAGGCAGAGAGTGAGTTTGTCTCTCCTTTGGCCCTCCGGGTGAAGAGCTAAGAATAGAAATTATCGGCAAGTGTGGACTCACAGGATGTGATGTGGCCTTTGTTTATTCCAAATTACTGTAGTGTGTTCTCTGCCTGGGAGATGCTTAAACTTTCTAATCAAATGTGCTTGGCATTTCATTTCTTGTTCTGGAGGCTTTGTAGTGCCATGCTCATGAGGTACTAATGATGTCTCAAAGGCAGAAATTGTCAGTTGGACACTGAGAAGTCAAGGCTGTATTGTGCCCTGCAGGGGAAGTCTTAGAAGTGTAGGAAATGAAAAAGCAGTCTTTTAAGAGGACTTAGTGATAGTCTGGTTTGGATTTTGCTGAGTAGAGAACTTGTATGAAAATAAATAGGAAAGAGCAGATCTACATATTTTTGAACAGGTATTCCTGATTTAATTTTTCAATTTAGAACATGTATATTGATTAAACATTATACGGAACCAAGTCCTTCAAAATAAAGGCAGTACTCTCTGTGGCATCCATTAAATTGTCCAGGGAAGTGTACATTTCCCTGTCTGCCTTTGCCAACTGTCTTTTGTCATCACCTGGATCTTCTTGACCAGCACATGGGACTACCCACGGGGCTGCTTATTTCAGAATGTGTCAGTCCACTTATGTAGTTTCTAACAATTCTTACTCTTCTTGTCTGAAAAGTCCAATTCTTCTACCCCAAACATAGAGAAGTATTGTTTTGACCTCTTCCTACTATTCTGTCCATATTAACAGCCTTTTTTGGGTTAAGCTTGAGAATGTCTTTTCTTTTCATGCAGCCACCAGATACAGCAGCGTGTTCTCAGTTAGCACTTCCTGAGATAATTGGCTTTTACACTTCTTGTCCTGAAAATTAATTTCCTTGGCTTAAAGGTGTTTGGAATATACATACATATATATATATATATGTGTGTGTGTGTGTGTGTGTGTATATTTGCTATAGGAGATCAGAATAGATGATAAAAATGTTTCCTTTTGCTTCAGTTTCAAATGCTTGTTGCACCAAGAATTTTCTACTGTGGTGAAAATTGGCAAAGTAGTATGACAAAGTGTAATTGCAGCCCAGCCCTTGTCTATTTTCATCACTTCCCCATTTTAATCATCACAAGGGAGAAGTGAAGAATGACAATCTTTTCAAATACCTCAGGAACAGAGCATTTAGGGAATTTTAAAAGACTGAAGATTTAATAATCTGTCCCAATCTCTTATATTTCATGCCTTGTGTGCTTCAGTTCCATACAAAAACAAAGGAAGAGCAGATTAGGATTGTCAGGAACTAATGGCACTGATGCCAAAGAATGAGAGTGATAAAAGTGACACTTCTGCAGCTGCTGCTGTTTCTGAGCTTCGAAGGGATTTTAGAGCTTGTTGCAGTAGAAACCATCTATTTTTTTAGGATATCCTGTCCCTTTGACTTCCAAGAGCATTCATATTTCCTAAATGATTGAAGAAGTGGAATGTAGAAAGAAAGATATTAACTTCAGAAATACTGAAAAAGCCTTTTTTACATGCTCTCGATTTTAATTTTTAATTGGAAAATAAATTTAAATTTTTCTTTAAGTGTTATATGCAAAACAAAATGTAATTCCTTACTTTTCAAACATTTTTTTCCCTGGTTTTGGATATAGATAATTTTGGCAATACAAATATATTTCTATATAATCAATTAAGCCAGCATCCTCTGAAAGAAAGAAAACCCAAACACTGGCTAGTTTTTGATTGATTCCTGAAGGAGGGTTTCTCGTGAGTAATCTATAACAATCTAAACTAAGCCAATAAAGGTATGCAGGGGAAACACATTCACATCCTAGAAATGTCAATTCCAGCATTGTCATTTACCAGTATGTGGACTGAGACCTGCTGACCAAACACTGTTCTGAGGCTGTCACTGCTGGAGGAAGCAGCATCTCCAGACATTGAGAGCACCTAGCAGTAGTCGTGGTCGATGCATGGTGCTAAACCAACTTCACAGGAACTAAAAAAGAATATTGCCTGTCATGTGGTGAAGGGGCCCAAGCTGTCTTCCTACTGTGAGATCTTCTCACCATAGAACATAAAATTCCATTAAGTTTTAATTTTTACCACCTTGACTCTCTGTCCTTGAACACAAAAGGTGTGCTGGCAGTGAATACAAGAAAAGGTGAAGCAGGTGTCCTGCTCACCACAGGCTGCTATTGATAGCAAATCCAAGTCACCTGCCTGCACTTACCAGCCAGAGGTAATATGGAGAAACATCTGGTGATGGTCAAAGTGCCACCATGCCATCATAGGGACAGACTCTAAATCCCTCTTCCACCACTTATTCCTGATTTAGAGTGAGGAACATGGGAGGAAGAGTAGCCCAAATACATGGACTTGAGTGAACAGGTTAATTGTCCCTGCTTAGCCTCCCATTCACCCTTGTTTCCTCAAAAAGGAGAAAACTTCAGAATGGATGCAGCCATGGCCGTAGGTGCTTATGAATTCAGCACCCTCAGGAGATAATTTGTAGATCTTTGCAGGACTGGAGTGATCTGGAGAGTGGGACTGTCCTTGTTTCCAGTTTTAGTCAAAAGCCCCCTGGTTTTGGTCCCCCTTTTTCCCCTTGAGCATATTGGATAAAATATGATATAAATTAGAACCAATGACATTTTATAGCCTTTCAGTACAGTGTGAGCAGCTGCAAGAACCTTTGAATATTATTGTGCAATTTCTATTTATTCAGAATCTTTCAGTTCTTTGGCCAGCCTATGTATCTCTAAAAGTGCATGTTGTAACATGCAGTTCTTCAGAACTTACTGTATGTAAGTGGAGGCACTACTAAGTATTAGAAATGTACATTTGAAAGGTCCTAAATTAATAGTGTTTTCAAAAATACAGTGTTTTTTTAGTATTGATTATTAATTTGTAGTATTAGCTATTCATTCATTATGGCTCTAATCCAGCAGAACATTTAAATATGTAGGTAAATGTATATATTTAAGTAATGAACTTGAAAATAATGCACATATGCAAGTATGGGACTGAATCCTGTCTGCATTCAAAAAGAAATTCCTTTATCCAAAGAATATTTCTATACTGAGCATTTCCCCCATGGATTCAATGATAATTGTAACCAGAATAGCACAAAGTAGCACTTGAGTATTCTCCTGTAGCATTCAGGTGTGGCTACTTACATATCCAGCAATGGAGGAAGGCTGTTATTTTCAAATAGAATTCAAATTCAAAATATTTTGTGGGAATGGGCTAAGATTCATTCTCGCTCTTCCTGCCATTCACTTATTTAATGAATTTCTGTCTGAAAACCTATGTGTTACATGTTAGATTAAATAAAGGCATCCATCTGACCTTAGAGCCAATGAAGTTGCTCAAGTAATGCTGTAGACTCAAATTGTGCCCTTTCACAGAATTTGAACCTAGAAGTGCAGATGACAAAGTGTCAGTATCCTGCACAAATGGAGCAGAGCATTGCCTGCTCAGTGGAACTTCAGAGAGCATGTTTGGGACAGGGGTCAGCACCTTCTGCACTGCTCTTGCAGGTTTTCCCCCAAAATGCCTGAATAATTGCTGCCTTACTACACTTAAGTGTGCGTGTGATACCACAGCTCTTCATTGTGTTATATTGACATAAAATTGATGAGAAATAGGTTCAAAGTGTCTTACTGCTATTTTGGAGACAGATTCTTGGCCTCACTAGTCCAATGTTGAGGCTGAAGAACTAGACCATACCTCGTGTTGGAAGTTAACAAGCTGGTGCTTTAGCAAGTATGTGTGAAGTAGGGAATATCAAATTTGTTTAGCTTTTATACTCTATTCACTGGTTGTTACTACTGTTTTTGGAGATCAAAGACAAAAAAAAAATCTCCCTTAACAAGTTTATCTTTTTCTGTTTTCTCAATAATGTGTTTTTTATAATGGCTTAGGAGATGCCATGCTGCATGCTTCAGAATCTGAAGCCATCCAGCTGTGGTTGCTTTCCAGGGGCTTAAAACACCTGGTAATAGAGATTTACCAGGACTGCAACCTGCATCATCATTGCTATGGACAGTGTTTGCTATTAATAGATTAAACCTGCAATCAACACATTTCAGGTTCTTCACATACTGGACTTGATTCTTTGCACATTTTCATCACTTCAGAGTGCTTAGAAAATAGGCAGTCAACATCATGGTGGTAGATTTAGTCTTTGGTAGGGAATTAGAGCTTTCTTCTTTTTTCCTTTTAACATCTTGTTTGACAAATAACAATTCAAAAAGATCACATGTAAACATTGTCAAGAGTAGAGATGTGGAGAGGACAGGATATGGCCAGGTTCATATGATTAGTCTCCTTTACACTGAATATCACTAATACATCCTACTTTGTGGACAAAGGTTTGAAAGCCTACCTGATCCTCAGGAAGGAAATTTTTATTATATTTTCCTCATAATTTATTGCGTAAATTAAGGAGGAAAGTTAACACTACCCATGTCCTGTGGCTGTATTCATTGCATTAAACTGCAGTTAATAACTACAGTTAGTAATTTTAGCAGTCACCCCTCCAGTCCTTCAGCTCAGCTCTCTTTTTTGTTAATACAGCCCGTTAAACACAGAGGTATCTTTGTAATTTCAATGCAGCTCCAAAGTTTTCTTGACTTCAAGTGTTACAGAATAGATGCTTATTCATCCAGTTCCTATTTTACTCTTCTAATTATTACATTATCGATTGTGTGTATTGTATTTTAAAATTTTTTTTCATTATCAAACCAGTTGTCACAATGTTATCCTCCAACAGTGTTTTGTTCATTATATAGAATAGGTGAAAAGCTGTGGAATTAATGAAGGGCTACAAAAAGCATCCAAATGTTCACCTTGAGGAAGGGTGAGACACCTTGATAATCTCTGGACAATAGACTAAACAACACTGTGGTGCTAATAGGTACAGAAGTATTTTATTATATATTCACTATGACTTAAATGACATATTCAAGGCATGTCAATGATGCAACTGCATGTGTTTCTGTTCTTAAAGTCTGGACTGCTCTGACAGTGTTTGTAATTTATGGTGAGCCAATTCCTACCTAGCTCTCCTGTGGGTAAGTAATTTCAGGAGTCTGTGTAGGATCTGGCCCAGCACTATTAGGTAAAGTAAAAGCTACACAGACCACAGAAGTCTCGTGTGTGTAGAATGTATTCAGCCTGCTGTAGCATGTTACTTGATTTAGTTGCTTTGCTTAAGCAGGGGCTAAAAATAAATTCTGTAGTAATGATAAGAAACACTGGGCTAAATTCTGGAACCCTTAACCAAGCAATATTAGCAAGCCTTTGAATGAAAATGAGGATTGAAATCTGAATGTTCTTTCATGGAATACAAGAAAGAGAGGGGTAGAATAAGAGCAAATTCTATCTCTAGGAATGGAAAAAGGCCAAATCTGGTTGACTCCAAAGTGAGCTATGATTTTCCAAAGGGGCATTTGGTTTTAAAATCTTGAAGACAAAATTTCCCTTTTGAATTCTGAACCATCATTTTTTTTGTCTTGTTTTGCCTGGGCTGCTCATGCAGGGCAGGTGTCTCTATTCCAAATAGCACTGAAAGCACTAATAAGCACTAATCACACTTCTGACCGTCAGGCCAGAAAATTTGCCTCTGTAGCAAACTCCATATTTGAAAACCTGGAAGGAAATTTCCAACCAAAACAAAAAAATATATACAAAATTATCCAAACCTGAATTTCAGTAAAAAAAGAAGAAAATTTTATGTCAGTGAGATCCACAGTTGAGTGGAGGCTTTCCTGGAAGAAGACCTGCTCTTTTCACCAGCTGAGCACATGGAAGTTTGCCCATAGCTGCAGTGCATACCTCTACCAAATGATTTGTGCAGAACAGCAACAGTCTGGGTAGTATTGTAGGAGCGTGGAGTGGGCACGCTGCCTGTAACTGTTTAGTTTTTAAAACCTCATTATTAAGCAAATGTGTAGAGTATTAAGGAAATTTGTAGAGTATGTCTGATGGTATGAGTGTGTGGGTGCTGTGCTGTGGTAAAAAGAGAATTGGTTTATGCTGGGTATTTTTGCATACTTTACTCCTATATGTTTTTGGTTTTGTTTTTTTTTTAAATTTATATTTATTTCTCATCAGAGCTTAGAGTAATTTTAAAGTTATATAACCCATGATTTAATGAAACCTACTGTCAGCATCTGTTGTAAACATGTGTTTACAAAACAAACTCTTGAATACTTGATACTTGGAAATAAAAAATAGCATATCACGTGTGTTGATTGGGTCCAGATCCTCTTTGATTTCAAAGTAAGGCTTGCATATTTTAATTTCCAATACGTATAACTACACAAAAAAAAAAAAATCACCTTTCAGATTCCCCTGCACATTACCAGTGTCCAGGACCAGAGGTGTTAAAGCGAGGGAAGTGGATGAAGTTAGCTGAGCAGCGCATCGCTGTTTGTTTCTTTGCTTTTTTTACAAAGCTGCTAGTGTGCATTTACCTCAATAACAACAGGATTCACCTACTGATAATAGCTCTAAGTCAGTCCCTGCCCATGGTGAGGGTTGGAACCAGATGATTTTTAAGACTGCTTCTGACCCAAGCCACTCTGTGATTCCATGTCTAGTTCTGGAACTGAAGCACTACACATCTTTGCTCTTTTGCAGTGCTTTCAGTTGCTAGGCAGTCTCAGAAAGTATCTCACACTGTCCAAGGATGTGAGGTCAATACAGCTGCCTTACCTTAAATCCAGATGCTATCTCCCAAAGATGTGCAAATTTTGAAACTCTTCTATCTCCAGGAGCCCTTCAAAAAGTCATGACCTATGTCCTGCCTTTCAGAATAGACACATGTCTACTGCTCTGCAGATCAAAAAAGCTTTAAAGGTCATCCTCTTGGCCCTCCCCTATTTGAGGAGCACTTGCTAGATTTAGGCACTTGCATCATTTCTGAGCCTGCAACTGCCAGTAAAAGCTTCCTGACGGTCACACCATGCACTGCTCATTAACTTGACTACCTTAGCTATGGGACAAGAAGTACTGTGCAGAAAGAAATACAAAACAAATTGGGACAGTAACACACTGCTTAGGATGCATATTTAGAGATATGAGAGATTTTGGCCTCTTTAACTTGGTTTAGTTTTATATTTGGCGCATGTTTCCAAGACAGCAAGGATCAGAGCTCATTGCTGTCTGTACTTCTTGCTTACAAAATCAGTGTTCTTATAGTTTCTTTCCTCCACACTCCTATAAGAAACCTGTAAAAAAGGCTCTCACCTGGTTTAGAAGGTAGGGCAGTGTTTAGCTGATAGTTTAGATAACAGACTACTGTCCTAGAAGAGGGAAGGTAAACAACTTTCAAACTCTTTTTTCCATTTCCTCAGTGAATACTTTAAGCTCTCAGGTAAGGAGGAAGGACAAGTGGGATGAATCTATGGACCACACTGTTGCACCATTCCCTTCTCTATCTCTGCCCAGCATTAAGAGAGAAAGCACCTTGCTTGGTTCTTTCAAAGAACTGTACTTCCAAAGAATGTAGGGCACATTGTTGGCGCTGGATAATTCCCTGCACAAAAGTACAAGAGGTGGTTATGTGGGACCTTGCTTCAATTTGCCTTTGTCCTTCAAGTCCTCCCAAACTCATTGGCTCAGCCTGCTCTGCACCCTGCTTTGAGACACATCCTGTGCTTGCTGCTGTGCTTCCAGGGCAGACTTCTCCCAGGGCTCTACCTGACACTGCAGTGACTGCTTTTTGAACACGTGGATTCATCCACTTTCCTGATCCATGCAAACATCACCTGTAACTTCATGTCTGCAGGAGCATCAGAGTCCCAGGACCATGTAAAAGAAAGAGTTCAAGAAGTCCAGATTCAGAGGCTGAATTTAGATATGAAAGTACTCTTAGTCACAGGCCATTGAACAAACATAGAGTTCATGTAAGAGAGAGTATCCCTTGAAAGCTAAGTTCCTTTTTGTGCTGACTCTTGTACAAGGAGACACAAGTCCTGACTAGGGATCTGTGGTTCACTCTTATTAAGTGCTGCATGTCTGGTTTGCAGTACTGTGCTGTCACAGGGAGAGCTGTGCAGGGAGGAGAGAAAGCAGCAAAGCAAGACATGGCTCCATGAAACATTTCATGACTTCTGGGAACTGCTGGTTGTGCAGCTCGGTGCATGGAGTTCAAGGAAAAAAGGACCGGATGAATTTGGAATTTAAAAAAATAAAAATCACAGCATGTCTTAAACAAAAAATATACACATTTCCAGGAATAATTTATACCTAAAAGAATGTTGTGTGTTATTTTGTTACTGTCGCTTTTAATGTAGATGGGTTCTTAAAACAACTGTTAACATATTTTTGAAATGAACCTTATTCAGGAGGAAAAGTGGATCATGTGGACTTCTCTGAAGCAGGTAAAGTAAAACACTTTTTATTTCAAGAAATATTGCTTCTAGACTTTCCCGAAGCCAGAATTGTACTATAAAAGTATCACAGAAATATTATACAAGATTTAAAAACACAGTTTGTATCCTAGTAACTTGAAACCTATGTACAAATAGCATCATTCATGACCATAAATATTTGTTTCTATCAATCAGCCCATGACACATACATCAGATAAAGAACTAGTAATTTTAACATATTTACAGAGTCCATCAAAAAGACTGCTTCTTAAAATTATTAAAATCCTACTAAAAGAATCTCCTTTTTAAAAAGTTTCAACTTAAAATACAATGTAATGAATGTAAGTTTAACCTGCAGTGCTTGCAATAGCAAAAAAATATTCACTACACTAAATAAAATGTAACAGGTAGGAAACACACCTGTGAGTTGGACATTATGGAATTACGTCTGTTTGAGGTAATTCTCTTTTGTTGCTGTTGTGATAATCTTTCCCCTTGCTTTTTTATAAATTTTAAATAATTAAGTTTTGACTAATTCAGATTTTTGAAGTAATTTTTGTATTATACTTAATATGATTTAATGTTTGGTAAAGTTCAAGAGAAAATTTAGAATACAACAACAAAAATGATTACTAAAGTACTATTTTTTACTCTCATGTGCTTTTTGTGTCTAAAATAATGGAAACCTAACATGATTTTATCATTCCCTTTAATGCCTTTTCAAAACAGAAAAGAAATTTAAGACTCAAAATTATAATAATGTTTTCAAGGTATTGCTCAGAATAATAAACATCAGGTGGGGCAACAAAAACATTTATGTACTGATGTAAACCTTTCTACCAGTATCAGAAAAAAAAAAAAGTCAGAAAAATTAATGGCATTTTAATACTGACAATATCAACATATAAGGAAACAATCCAATTTAAACAAATCCTTCTACAGTTAACAATTATTAGCCATACCTTTCTGAGATTAAATTTAATAAAGTAAAAAAATCATGCAATATTTGCTAAGATAACATTTGAAGAGTCTGCTTCCACAATCCATGGTGTTTACCTCTTTCACGTCAGTCTATTTATTGGTCTCATAATTCCACAAGACAATGAGCAAACTAAGAACCTGTAAGTTATTAGAAGCATAAATGGTATGGCATACAGATTTTAAAAGTGCATTTTACTTGAAAGCATGGCATTAATAATTGCCAGTGGTTAAAATAATTGATGAAAAAGACATTATGCAGGTATACTGGGTGAACTGAAACACTCAGTCATGGCGGGACCATTTGGAAATAGAGAAAGTGACTTGAACATTCTTTTGGAAGGAATAATTTTTAACTTTAAGAGAATGTGCTACTGCATTTGAAAGTTAACACTGTTTCTTTTAATGAAAAAGAAAAACTGGAAATCTTTCTTCCCAGTGTGGAGAATTACAATGAAAGTATGTGCATGTGAATTAAAAAAAAAAAATGCACAAATGCTAAACTGGGCTCAATTTAGCTGCAAAATATATCTACAATAAACATGGAATGTCAGTTGTCTTGATTACCTTTATTAGTTTGCTAATAAGAAAAAGGAGAACTTATTTCATGGTTTACAACTTGATCTAATCCAAGGAGAGTGGAGCTGAGGCACTGCCTTCTGTATTTAGGATTTGTGAGCTTTCTCCTGCAAGACTCTGTTTGGCTTTTTTTAAAAAAGTTCCTTCTTCCTGGGTACTGACAGGTGAATCCCTAATGGATATGTTTATGGTCTGATGAACAAAGGGTTCATCAGACCTCATGGGAAGATACATTTGGTCTTCAAATATATCTTCCACAGTGTCACTATCCTGATGAGTGTCTTTTTGAGGAATGCTGATGGGCTGTAGCATGAAGCTATGCCGGGACTCCATCTCTATCAAACCGTTTCCACTGAAATCCATATCAAAACGGTCTGATTCTTTATCCTCCATCCATTTTTCAGCTGGATGACTATTTCTCCAGTGTGCATCATTCAAACTACTTTTCTCAGGAATATCATTGTTTAATTCAAGTTTCCTCTCCTGACTTAAATTCACCGTGCTCAAAGCAAGGGCTGCAAAGTCTGTTGGCACAATAAGCTGCAGCTCTTCTGCAATCAGGCCGCTGGACTCCTCAGCAGAAGTCATTTCCACCAAGGTGAACGGTGTGGATGATTCGTGCCCGTCCCCGTTGCTTTGACCAGTGTTATCCTTGTCTGGTTTATTTTGCTGGTAGTAACTGTTCAGCAGTGCAAACATTCTATCTACATCCTTCAAGTAATTAGTCCAGTCAGCCAGACTAAGTCTAAAGTTGTGTCTGTATTCATATACACTTTCATTCACACTGTACAAGTCTTCCAGTCCTTGCCAGTCAATGTCGCCAGTGAAAAAGGGCAGCTTAGCCTTCCCATCCATCCCATAAGTGTCCTCTGTTGAGAGAAAGAATAAAGCCTACTGGTGAACACTATTAAAGGTGCAAGCAAAGCTTCCATGTGTGTTTCTACTTCAATTGGCTTGAAAGCATCACTGTTCATAAAGCAGGCAGCTCAAAGTGTAAGACACTCCACCTCTTCTGTCATCAGATGAATGGTTCTGGCCTTGGGTATGCTCACAGCCCTGCTAAACACAGACCAAGAGCTCCCTGTCTCCTGCTACATCCCTGGGCTGAATAAAAAAAGAACAAAATCTGATCTAATGGGGCTTTGTGATGACATTCAGAGATAAGTCCTTCCTCTGATATTTCAAGGCAGGAAAAATGTTTCAATACACAAATAATCCATTTGCCTTTCTTGAGCACTCCAGCACAACATGCAATAATCAAACAATGGTTAAGTATAAAAGAGGAGACTAACTCTGAAACCATTGGTGACCTG